AAACATAAATGGCAGACATAGAATCAAATAATGTAATTGAATTGTTTATTCGATCGACACCTGGAATTGAGAGAATACCTTTTGAAGAGTTTACCAATATTGAGAAAATTGCCAAAGGGGAATTTAGTGAAGTTTACAAAAGTGTTTTGCATGGGAAAGTGGTTGCATTGAAGTCAGTTAAGACAATAAAAGAATTATTGCATGAGGTAACAAATAATAAAGATGTGTCCAAAGTCACGATTTGATCGATAGCTATTCGAAATTCCTATTTTCAAAGTTTTTGTTCTAATTTTATTTATATAATATTAATTAACCTTAGGCTGAATTGACCTTTAAATGTGAAAAAAGACGGTAAAAATGATAATTAGGATTATTATTTATTTAATATTCATTAATTAATTATCCTAACTTCCTACATGTAATTAGTGAACGTGAGAATTCTACATTTTCATTCAAGTCTATCCTTCATTTAGGTGGTAAGATTTTTTGAATTTTTCACTATAATTTTGTTTAATTATTATACATTCACTTTTTTAGTAGGTTTCAACAATTCACAATATTCCAATCGAGACTATAGGTAAGAAATGAGAGGCTCCGCTTTCTTTATTTTATATTAACTTTCCTTCTATTTTTCATTTTATATATAGGGTTCGATACTATAAAATCTATGGAATAACACACGATCCTTCAAATGGAAAATACTTTTTAGTTATCGTTTATGCCAGCCTTGGTAACCTGAGACATTTGTTACGGGAACAATTCACCAAAATAACATGGAATTATCGCATACAAGTGCTATACGATGTTTGTGCTGATCTTCAGTCTATCCACTCACAAGCTATTATACACGGTAATCTGCATCCTGGAAAGATTCTTCGATTAAATGAAGATGCAACTACTAACTGTGATATGGGTAATGCCATCAGACAAAATTCCTTTAAGGAAAAAGGCCAAATACTTGGTGTGATGCCATTTGTTGCACCAGAGATTTTCCTAGGAGAGGCTCTCAGCATGGCATCAGATGTCTATGCATTAGGAATGGTTATGTGGGAATGGTGTGTCGGTAAACCGCCATTCGGTAAACGTCCTTTTGATGATGCATTAGCCTTAGATATATGCAATGGATTGCGACCAGAATTACCGGAGGGATTACCTGACTTTTACCGCGATTTGATTATACGTTGTTGGTATCAAAATCCCGCACAAAGGCCAACCTCCACAGAGATTTTAGATATCGTTGAAAAATGGTATCGAGGCGAAACTACAGAAATGGAAAAACAACAAATAGACGCCGCCGAGGAATTTAGAATTGCAAATGCATCCAAATATGATTCCAAAGAAAGTTACGCGACGCATCCCTTGGCCGTTTATACGAGCAAAGTTTTGCCGTATGTGAATCAAGAAGGTTGGTATTTTTTTAATAATATTTGTATAATCAAGTTCCATTAAGCTTATAAATATTATGTCAAATAGACAAAGGAAATGAAGATGCATAGAATATCAAACCATAGAATATCGAAAATCCCGAAAATGGATTGAAATCGGTGATAATGGAAAATCCATTAACCGTTATCAAAATGAATTTCAAGTTAACAAAAGTTTCTAGTGTAATGAAACTAAGTTATCAATTTGCAACAACTTTTCAGCTCTTTTTATATTTCTGTTTGGTCTTTTTTTTTTTCTTTATCTTTAAGGGACTTGTGAAATTTTTTGCGATATATTCCAATAAATTATTTTATTCATCTATCTCAACAAAAGTTTTAAAAACTAACAGCTGCAGAATTAATTTAATTTTAATGTGAATAACAAATTTTAAATCACAAAAATTATTTTGTAAATTTAATAAAAAATAAAAATAAAAACACATCTCAAAGAAAATTACATACAAATGGTGAAAGTAAACATTTTCTAAAATGAAAGTTACAATCAAATTTTTCAAAAATAGATTCAGACCGCTCTTAAACGCTATGAAGGAATTAATATTATCATTATGGAATATCTAAAAACCAAATACGAATGAATATTCGATAGCGATGGATTATGCAAAATTAACTTTGCTTGATAAATTATTTAAACGACATAATCAGAAACATTCACAGAGAAATTTGTACATGTTCGTCAACCTGGAAATATATTATTAATGCGTGATACGCCTGGATTTGGACTTTACTTTTCAACAAATATAAAAAATCCAAGCTGAGAAATTTGTGGAATGCTTCCTTAAATGAATCCAAAAGTGCTAAATGGAATGTTATCGTTATAGTTTTGGAATGGTTATGTACGAAATTGTAACAGATAATAATAATAAGCGACATTTGTCATCTCATTTTCTTTTATACGACATCTATAAAGAAGTACAGCTGAAAACGGATGCGCCACATTTCAGTACTACATGTAAAACAGATGAAGAAATTGAAGGGTGTGTTAAATTAGAAAGCAGAAATTAAAAAACAACAAATGTAATTTACACGAGTCGAATGTTTAAATATCAAACTCAACTGACATTTTTTATTTCAATCAAATTGACATTCTGATTGAATATACATGTATTAACGTTAAACATTTAGGTTCTACAAATATTAGTTTGTATTGTTAAAATCCCCAGACACTCAATTCTGTAGTTAGGTTGACTAACGAATTATAGATGCAACAAGGGTCAAAATGAATTCTGTGCCAAACTTTTCCAACCAAGGGCAAAGGTAAAGTTTAAAATAAAATTTTTAATTATTTATAGTCGCACTTCTCTATAAGATTCCTCTATATAAGAACAAATTCTTATAAGGACAATTTTTCAAAAACAGACATATTATAAAGCATATTAAAATTCTTCTTTATAAGAACATAATTATAAATTTTTAAAAGAAACAAATTTTTTGTCTCCCGACCATCTTTCATAGAGAGGTGTAACTGTAATTAAGTAAGCCGTTCCAAAACAATAAAGGTAAATTCTATCCAAATAATCAATAATCAAATGAAACGCATCAAACTTTTTATGGCAAAAGAGGTAAAGCCTTCGATTTTGTTATAGTACAAAGAAATAAAGCTATCAATTTCGTTTTGGCACAAAGAAAGCTAAAGCGTAGTCAAGTAAAAGTAAAAATAATTTTTATTAGTTATTTTTCTTTAAACCACACATTGCCTGTCTTTGTGAACTTCTATATTACAGTTTTCGTTATCACACAACTATTTAAATTACAATTCGTTAATTACAAGCTTTGTGAGTCATTAAAGCACAAAATAAGGATTTTAAAGAAAAAAATTAGTTATCACACAACAAGGAAAAACGTACAAAGTAAGAATTTTGGTAAGAAATTATAACGATAATCAATATTTTGGGCGCGCAAGGTAGGAATTTTAGTAGAAATTTTCTTTCTTTTGGGAAATGGGAAAGCCACGTTAATGTTGATACTACATATACCAGGTGAGAATTTTTGTTTTTGTAGGAATTTCTAGTTAATTATTTTAAAGTTTTCGTTACACATTATTCATTGGAGCATAGAATTAAAAAATTTAGTATCATTCTGTAATCACAAGATTTTTCGTTGCGATGGCAACAGTGTCCTTAATTATGCAGCAATGTGTTACGAAAAACATTGAAGGTAACATCCCTATTGTCTTTTATCATATGAACAAAAATTCCTAAAAAATACTTATCGTGCAACATCAAAATTAATGTTTAGTAAAAAGTTCCTACAAATTTCTTACGCATCGACGCCAATACAGTCTTCACTAATAACACGAATTCCGTACAAATATTCAAAGAATGTGATTATCAATAGAAGCTCATAAAAATTCGTATCGTACGTTATTTTTTGATCCATAGACATTATTCCAAAATTACTACCAAATTCACATTTTGCGTTGCACGTAACAATATTACTTACTTTATTCTTTAATAATAATTGTAATTAGTTCTATTTTATTTTGACAATTAACCCTGTTATTCTTTGTTATGAAGCATAGCAATGCCCCTTTCTTACAAAAATTCCTACTTTCTACGTCAAGACCCGCAAATTCTTGTAGTAACTCATGATCTATAAAATAGATAGAATTGGATAGTTCTCGCAAGCCAGAGAGACAGGCTACTGTATGGTTTGAAGAAAATAAATAACAATTATTCTAGTTCTTACTAACAAATACTTTGGCTTTTATTTCTTTGGTGTCTTATCAGAATCGATAGCTTTAATTCTTTTGTGCTCAACAAATCAAAAGTTTTTCTGCTTTGGACGTATTAAGTGGATGAATCACGTTTTCTTCAGTGTTTCGTTTGACTCTTTGAAGAACTATTGGATTATTCTTTTGTTTGACATCAATATCGTTTTTCATTTTATTTTAATATTTTGAATAACTCATTTTTGTGATTTGGAAGTATTGTTATTTTAATTTTGTTAGTAAATTAGTGTAATTATTTTAAAGTTAGGTTTTAGTAATAAAATAGTTATTACTTTTTGTTAATTTAATCATGTTAATTCATACTTTATTTTTGCTTCCTTTGAATAATTTGCCTTTTGGTTGCACAATCTCCATATACATGTAGATTTGCATAGGAAACTAGTGAAATCCCATTTCGTGTGACTACAATTTTTAGTCCAACTAATTTCTGAATTGAGCGTGACACTACAGCTCCCTTAAAATCAAAGAGCGTATTCAAGATAAAAGAGCATTGGCATAACACATATACAAATATAAGGAAAAACAAAAATTCATAAATGTAAATTATAACAATCGAATCTTTTCAACCAAATAATTTCAATTCAATCATAATGATATTTCAGATTGATTTAAACAGTCAAATACTTAGGTTCTATAAGTGGTGGTTTATATGTTCCAAACGAAGTTAGCTTTATGATATTAACTTTCATTAATTTCTTTAATTCCTTAACATTAATCTCATTATTTTCCTTTCTCTTTGTCTATAGAAATAATTTTTTTGACTATTTTATTTAGAAATGGTATGATAACCATATTTGGGTTCATTACTTTTCAAGATGATAAATAGTATGGCCACTTTGAAAGATCAAAACTTGATACCTTCTTCGAATCTATCTCTATACATTAACAATACTTCTCCTTATTTCTTCATAGTATATTCTCTAAGTAGTTCCCATCACTGTCCATTTCCCAAAATTGATTAGAGAATCGAGTTGAGCAAGTCTTTTTGTCTTTTGTGCAGAAATTCGAAGTTATGGGCAACACTGAGCGCATACAAGGAGAAGGATGGCATCCAAGTAAAGAGGTCAAATCTCGAACGGTTCCCCCAATCAGGAACTTGACATTCATAATGAAGAGATGCAGATTAAGTACAAAAAATGATATGCAGCATCAACATAAGATTGCGGAACATTTTACGGAAATGGAACTAACCAAATTCCAGGCTGGGAAGAAACTTATACTCGCCTATATGTAGAGTTAAACCAACAGTATAGTAAAATCTTTGATATCATCGTAACCCTTGTAATGGAGAAAGTTATTGAAAGAGCGTTGAATTTATTATATGATGGTTTATTAGATTTTTCAATTTGTCCTAACTATATAAAGTAATTATGTAAATCTACATTAACCGTTGTCTTTGGGTTTCAGAACATGTACCAATGAACTTTTAGAATTTACGATTGCGAAGGTTAAAGAAGATCAAAACACAGAATTTGCGCGATTGTTAGAAGTCTGTTGAACTAAGAGTTATCATTGACAAAACAAGGGTTAACTACTTGATTAGAATCATTTATATCATAAGGATACCTGCATTTAGTTGAGAGAAACTTGAATAATTATTCTCCATTTATATGTTACTGATATTGCACCCATGTGTTTCAAGTCTCGATTATTCAAAAGTGCTAAATAGAAAGAAATATGATAAAATTTCCATTCTAAAATTAGTTATGTTATCAACTGCTGAGAAACTTTTTGACTTCATTGGTTCTACCATAAATCTGCAGAAACTGTAAGTGAAAATTGAATACTTTAATTTTCAATATTACAGCTCTTTAGAATATTCTAAAACAGATGAAGAAATTATTGTATGCCTTAAATTAGAATTTAAGAAATTAAAAGATTTGATGAGTGATGAAATCACAAAAAGTATTCCAACAAATATAAACAAATTCACATAAATGCAATTTACATCAGTCGAATCTTTATAACTGATACATTCAATCACATTTCAGCTTGATTTAATATTTAGGTTCTGCAAGCGTCAATGCATGTTCCAAATTAAATTAAACTCAAAAAAATATACAAAAAAATCAATATTAATTGTTGTTTTGTATATGATAAAGATATCGTATGAAACAGGTGAATAAAAATCACTTCATTATTCGACATTGTTTACCGATTTCTTTAAAGAGAATGTGAATGACTCAAGAACCGACTACATGTATTGCCAAATTTTTCTCACGGCTATAATAATAAAAAAATTATTATTATGAAATTTCATAATACCGATACATGTACATGTAAATTGCATGTGAACGTCTTGTGATCATTGCCGTGCATAACGTTTCATCTGGATCCAACGAAAAACGGAAAAGAAAGAAAACAATTTACATGTAGATGAATATATAATAATAAAGAAATATAAGAAATTAAAACATCTGTTATATGGAATTATTAATGGATATTTTGATTATAAAGTTGTGAGCGTCTGTTTTATCATGATAATTGTTTCTATGAATAATAACGAATTGGAGACGAAAGGGTGAATAGTATCTCTACGCCTATCTTGGTTCTAACTTTAACAGTTGCTTTTTCTAGCCAAAATCCTTAAACTCTTTAGTTCAATTATACAATTATGATGCTTTTTCTGGATTAAAAGACAAACTAACAGCGATTACTAAATTATGATGACTTTCTGGATTAAAGAACCTAACCAATAAACAAATAACATTGTCAAGTGGAGAGAGAAGAATCGTACGTAATTCTGGGTAGAATTTTAGTAGAACAAGCTATTGGTCATTTGGCGAAGGTAATTAATTATTTGCAATTTTAATTGTTTTTCTTATTTTTTTGCGGGCACAGTTTTACACTTTTTTTAATTATTTACATTGTTAAAAGTTCTCAGTTAATTATCATAGGATCTATAGAAATTAAAGTAAAATAATGGATAAGAAAAACAATTGAAAAATAAATTTTACGAGGATACTTGCCAAAAAATAATAAATAGAGATTTGAATCTATCATTTTGGAGGGAACTCAAAATTTGCAATAGATCTAAAAAATAAAGATGAATTTAGAAATACATTTACAAAAATGGATGTGACGTGAACAATTCTTCCAAATTTAGCTAATTAGCTGCTTATTCTAACAATACAATTTAGCGCATTATCAACAATTATTTATTTTTTATTATAGTGATAACAATAAAAGAACATTTGATACATTGTTGCCCATTCTGTAAAATAGAGAAATCTTTAGCATATGGCTCTAAAACATAGACTTAAAAATTAATGTATATATAGGCATGCTTGGGGAACTTCTCTCGCCGTCTCCGAGAACTCTACTATTATAGATTTATAGCATAAGTCTTTTTGCCTTTCAAAAATCATTTTTCCCTTCAACATTATTAATATTCCTCAGTGAATTAACCCTATCCATCTTGGAGTTTCAATAGAATAGGATATGTGCAACACTATTTTATTGTTTCTCGTTATAATCTTAAAATGAGCCTAGAATACAGATCTATATATCAATTCATATTAAACAAAAAATCATTGGGCACTAAGACGTTTTACAGCCCTTTGTTGTCTGCTCCATCAAACATTCATTGGCAATTACAATTCAACCTGGTATTATAATTAATTATCATGTAATTCTCTATGAAACTCATTGTATTTATAAAATTATGTTTTTAAGCTAAAGGATAACACTAAAGAGATAGAATATTGCTCAATACGCATTCATGCAATTCCGAATAAACACGAAGATCAAAATCAGAATACAGTTTGGCTCAGTAGAAAAAATTTGAAACAAAAACTTTTTTTAAAAGATCAGTACAATAATTACTTAACTTCAGGCATCGTTGACAGAAATTATGGTCACGGAAAGTTAAATTGGGGTTAGTTTCAATAATAATTTATTAATTTTAATAATACTAAAACGTTTGACGTTTATAGGCTATTTAAAATTTTATGAATGGGAATTGCTTCCAGAAACGTTCATAATTGGCGTAGAATTTAATACGAGTGTTTCGGAGGAAATACTCGTTACTGGCTTTCTAGATCATAAAAAAAATCCTGAGTTAAAAAACGCTTGGCTCAGTGATTTGAATAATCCAAATACTTCTGATATAAGATTTATCGTTGGTGACCAGGAATTTTATGCCAGCAGCAAAATTTTGAGTACTCAATCAAAATATTTTCAGGCATTATTAAGTGCTTGGATGGAAATGAAAGATCTGTATGAGGAAAAGTTTATGAAAAATAAACGAGTATTCGATTACGAAATTATGGATACGGATCCTACACTGTTTTTGCAAATGCTTAAATATCTCTATACCGGTGACGTTATTTATGAGTCTTCAGATTTTCTCAAAAATGCCTTAGATCTGTACGGAATTGCTGACAAATATTTATTGGACGAGTTACGAGAACAAACAGCGGAGCATATAGTTTCCTCAATGACCGTAGAGAACGCAGCGGAAATTCTTTTCGGGTCAGCTTACAAATGGCCTGAACTGAAAAAAGTAATAAAGAAATTTGTTGTAAAGAATTTCACTAAAATATCTGATACTTCATGCTATGAAATTATTATCAAAAATCGTAATAATTATCCTAGCTTTCACGAAATCAATTCCGAAATTCTATTAAGTCTTCATCAAAAAGATATTTTCGATTAAAAAGTTTGTTTGTCACAAAAGTTAATACCCACTGCATCATAATTAGCATTTTAAAATATCATACAAAGTATTATTATTTTTTTCTTTAATTATTTATTGTAATATTTGTTTGTTAAATTTATTTAGAAATGAATTAGCTTTTCAGCCATAATAAATATATTAATTTTGATGTTATTTGCAAAGATTTTTCTGCATCACATACCTTATACATGTATATGAATATGAACTCTATTTATAAATTATTTTATTTAATTACTTTATAATATTATGATTGGTTATTTCTTTTTGATACACATATATTTTAATTATGTTCATTAATTCTTTTAATAAGATATTATTAAATTAATAACAATATTTATTGTCATGAATCATCATAAAATTAGATTATTGAAATATACATATAAAAAAAATGTCATCTCTTTCATCCGTACACCTCACGGGTATCTCAAACAACGCCTCACAAAATATTGAAACTCAAAACTGTTTTCCTTCTCAGCAAGAATTTAATGAAACTTCTCCTGGTCTTGTCTCCAAACGTACCTGGGCATTTACCCTGAATGAAGAAAGCCAGGATAGTGACTCTGAACATCCTTCTACCAGGCAAACTAAAGAAAAAAACAAGCGAAGAATTTCC